GAGAATATTACAATCAGATTTCTACTCTGAAACATAGCCCTAAAGGCAATGCACAGGATAGGCTGTGTTGTGCATTGAGGAAAAGGGCCAAACACAAGGAGATGTGTATGGAAGAAAAAGTGATGAAGCCTGCACTCAGACAGGACTAGAAAGTGAAGGATGACTGCCCAGAAGAACAGGGTTTGGCAAGTGAAAGAATATGACAAGAGGAAAAAGGTGAGTGAAAATTCTGAACCTGAATAACTAGGGCAATGGGGCTATCATATAGGAAACAGAAGAAGATCCAAGTTTCTCAAAGGAGGTGGATTTGATGGGAACTGTGAAATTTGAAGACGTCTATAGAGCATCAGTTTAGAAATGACGGTCAAGTTGATACAGAAAGAAATTTAGGGGAAATCACTAAAAGTAAGAATTGGAACCATGGGACTAATTATCAAAAATAAGAACAGAGTGAGTAGAGCAAAGTGCCAAGTACATGAGTTTATGAGACATGAACAGTAAAGGCATGGGCAGAGAGAATTAAGGAGTAAAAACAAAACAGGAAAAGTCAGAGACCTGACAGAGTGCATGACCACAAAAGCTAAGAGAAAAGAATTCAAGGAGGATTAGCTGGTGAATAGTTGAACAGGTTGGAAAAGAATAATGATCTAAATGAGGCCACTGGATCTATTAATTACGAGGTTACAGAGTAGTCTCTGTTGAGTGTTTAGGGCAGAACACAGATTACAATGAATCCGGGTTCATGGCCTCATTAGCATGGTATTAGGTACAGGAAATAAATATTTTACCCAGAGCTACATGAAAGTATGTTTTCCAAACAACAGTTTGTCTGCTTTTCAACCGTAACAATTTTTTAATAAAACTATGTCTCTAAATTTAACTGTTATTTTCAAACAATTTATTTCAGTCACATAAAATACTGATTTTAGCATCAAACAGAACACTATCATTTACCTAATAAATATGACACAAAAAGAATTTTTAAAGTAAGTATATATATATATATATATATATAGTATTGTGCTACATATTGAACCTCACTCTACTGCTTAGAAGAGTATTATTCTTAGTGTAGATGGCTCCCTAATATAGAACATTTGAGGGCAAATCCAACAAATAGCATTTATTTAAGAAAAACTCCTATTACCCAATCCCTTTTTATTAGTAACATCAAGCAGAATATGAGACCAAGCTCAATTCTGGCATATTTATATAAAATGTGTATTTAGCCAGACCTATGTTTATACAACAGTAATATGTGAAATATCCATATTTGTTAGCATAATCTAGAAAACAAGCACTGTTCAACAAAAAGATTTTTCCCTTTACAAAAAAAATCACTATTGGAATACTTTAAATAAATAAATAAGCATCTTTCCCAGGATAATATGAAATTACAATTCAATTATTTAATTTACATGAAACTTCACAGGAATATATTTGTTTAAAGCAAATTCATGAAGTATTAATTAAAATGTATAGTTAAGGGGATTAAAAACTGTAAAGAATAGTTTAGACACTGTGTCCAGAAGGTCTCCCCTCTCTCATCAGCTGGCAGGGGAAGCTGGAGCACTGTGTAGAACAGGAATCTGAGGGCAAGGACAAAAGAGGGTATGACAGAGTAGTTATCTGCTTTACACTTGAAAGCAGGCAGTAGCTGTGAGACTGTCATAATGTTACCATCCCTTGTTTAGATACAGTAGACAGAACAGATTAATCCTGAAGGGGTTTTCAAAGCTTTGAGTCTTTAAGAGAACACAGAAAAAGGTAACTTAGAATTCTAAATTGGGCAAAGGCTCTGGATCCAGACCACTGGAAGATATCCCTCAGCTCTGCACCTTACTACTTGTATCAACCTAGCAAATTATTTCCACCTCAGCTCTCTCAGCTGTAAAATGAGATGATAAGAAGAGCTACCTATTAAGTCAACATTAGAATTAAATGAGAAAATGACTATAAAACACTTGAAGTACTGGCATATCACTGGCCCTCAAGAATCATTAGAAATGTACTGTTCTAGGATCATTCTGGATCTGGATCACACGTTCACTCCATCATTATAATATATTGGCACCTTCCAACCCATGACAAAAACCTTTTCACTGTTCAAGTACTCTACCATACTATGTCAATGTTGTATGCCAAACAACAGAATGTTAGAGAATAGAACCAAAGTCCATGAAATTCTGGACCAATTCCAGAAGTACACCTTTAATTAAAAAAATAGCCCATTTTTGACACACTAACATTCTTGTATACAACCATCAGGCTAGCTCCATTTTTGCTAATAACTCATTAAAATCACCAAATTAAACAACTGGTCTACAAATTCCTAACTTATGCTACACCTCCCCTTCAAAAAAATCAAACTTATCAGTAGAGTATATCTAAGAAATATAAAATTCTGACTGAAATATTTTTTTTCTGGTTTCTAAAACATCTGTAGTGAAATCTGTCATATGTTCAAACTCATTTAATTCTCATCCTTCTCTCCCCTCCCCACCATGCCTGATAGAAAATCTTTCTCAAACTAATATAAACCTCCTCAGTTTGCCATTGAATACACGGTGCCTACTTCTACACTAAGCACTCATCTGTTTTTCCCCATTATCTCAACGGCCAACACAGCAGGTTTTTTTTGAAACCTCAAACAAAAGGATTAAAGATACATAAAATCATCTGCTCTCATCTTCAATGATGGACAGGAAGAGCAGAGAAGCTAATACATTCCTCTTGAAAACACATACGCATGAATACACTTTGTTCTTCCCCAAAATACCAAAAGGATAACAGACAGCAAATCATGCCCACAAACCAAAACACAGTTGTTTCATCTAATTTTAGAAAAAAAATAACAAGGAACTGGAGAAAAGTTCTCCCTGGAATAACTCAATCCTCAAATCAGGGAAATTCAAAGAGCATAACATGGAAAAACCAACAGCCTCAATTCTCCCCTTCAGGATACTAATTCTATCAACACCAAATCAAAACAAAGCGTATGTTTTTAGAAGATCCCAAAAAGTTTGAAATCTCTTTTTCAAAGAAGGAAAAAAAGACCACTTACAGAGGACATGTCTGAATGTCAAGCACAGGTGCTCTGTGGTTTACTCCAAACCTGTTTCTTTTTTGTACCATATTTTTTTTTCCCTTGAAGAGCCTCCACACCCAGCTTGTAGCCCAACTCAGAGCCTAAACTCAAGACCCTGAGATCAAGACCTGAGCTGACATCAAGAGTCAGACGCTTAATTGACTGAGCCACCCAGGTGCCTCCCATATTCTTTTAAAGTCTTATAAACTTATTTGTTTATAAACTTAACTTGTTTAAAGAAAACCAAACTATATCATTTACATCCAGAAGTATCCTTTATTTATATTTTAAAGTCTCATAGCCAGGTGTTTGTTATTTGATTACTTTGCTCAGCCCTAGGCAATACGGTTAGTTCTTCCCTTTCTGGAAGCTGTGAACAAGACTCAGTCTAGCTGTACTTGAGACAAGCAGTCTCAATCATTTTGTAGGTATATCTCCAGATTTTGCTTAGGGGTACCTGGGTGGCTCAGTCGTTAAGCATCTGCCTTCGGCTCAGGTCATGATCCCAGAGTCCTGGGATTGAGCCCCACATCGGGCTCCCTGCTCATTAGGAAGCCTGCTTCTCCCTCTCCCTCTGCCCCTGCTTGTGTTCCCTCTCTCGCTGTGCCTCTCTCTGTCAAATAAATAAATAAAATCTTAAAAAAAAAAAAAATGTTGCTTAATCTGAGAAAATCTTGTACTTTTTCCCTGGAACCTTCAAGAGTAGAAAGAAAATATAAATTATATTTTTATAAATTATAATTATATAAATTATATTGTTTTTGGAGGGAGTACTGCTCATATCCTAGGGACCTTCATACCATCTCGTCTCTTAAGAGAAACCTTTTCTTTAGTAATCAAGAATTTGTCCAAAATAAAAAACACGTAAACTTGTACCCAGAATTCAGGTTAACTAGGTAAAATTGGCATTAAGAAAAGACAGTTGAGTAACAGAAAACTGCAACAGATTTATACAGAAATTTAATGTGTCCTTAAAAGGACTTGGGGAAGAAGAACAATTATTTCACAACAGTCTTACTTCTATGAACTATTACTACATTAAGCCTGTGTTCTGGTCTTTTTGCTATCAGGAGTCCAGGGGAACAGGAGATACAAATTCCACAAGACAAAGACCTCTTCTTGCCAAAATTCTTTCTAAAAAACTTGGTCATTAAAAAATCTTTTCTAATGAAAAACATTTTAAACCAATACTAATTTCAGAAACCTCATTTCTGAGCTTGTACCTCAGGTACAATATATTAATAAAAGGGTTTTATGTTAATAGACTTAGGATATGTTTCTCATTGGGTTATATGGATCATTAAAAGTTCCTAAGGGGAGCCTGGCTGTCTCAGTCCATAGAGCATGCAACTCTTGATCTCCAGGTCGGGAGTTCAAGCCCCATATTGCGCACAGATTACTTAAAAAAAAAAAAAGTTCCTAAAAAAACTGTCCAATTAGATGAGAAAGTGAATGAACTATTTTCTAAGCATGTATAAGGTAAGTAGTCTCAAGCATTTTTGAGATTTATCACAACTCTCGAAGTTATTTAAACTGCACCAAGGAAATGCTAAAATTCCCACAGGTTCTAATCAATGCCCTATTTATTCTCCACATTTACTCTCCACTTGCTCCGCCAAACCCCCAATCCCTCCTCTGCTCTGTTCCTTCCCTGGGAGGATGAGCCAACACAGATCATCACCTAGGCTCCCCAGGTGGGTGCCAGCAATGCAAGCCAATGAACAAGACCCAAAGACAGAGGGAGGTCAGGGAACTTCCCCTCCCTCCCTGCCTGACTGCTTCAAAGCCACAGTTCCCAAGGCCCTCCTCCACAATGCCAGCTCTCAACTCTCAGTTCCGGTAATCTCTGGAGAATTAAGGGCTTCTCACCATTGCTATTCCCTGGGTGCTCCCCCCCGCCCCCCACGACCACCCTTGTTTGTTCTCTAACCTCTATAAGCTCTTCTTTTGCACCATCAAGGATGAAATTTCTCTCCTGCTGGGAGCCTGCCTGATGCAGCTAACAATACCAAGTCTGGTTAATTCAAAACAGTACATTACATAAAGAAATCCAATTTTAAAAGTTTAACAAGGTCTTAAGATCTATTCAAGTATTACTTACTATTGCTATTTGTATAATTGTTTAAAGATTAAATATAACCAGTTCACTTCCAAATGAAGCTGGTTAAAAGCTGAAAAAAATCATTACAATTAAAGCTAGGTGTGAAATTTAACACTGTCCTGTCCTCTCAAGATAAATGCCTATAAGCACCAAATAAACTTAACAAAAGAAAAAAAAAAAATCAATGAAGGGATTCTGGTAATCGATATTTCACTTCCTTCTACCATACACTGCCTGGTTAATCCAAACACTTTTTTGTTATTATTGAAGCCTTCCCTAGGCATAGGATAAAGAAGTTTTAAACCAGTGGTTCTCAAATTTTGGTGTGCAAGTAAATCAACCGAGAAACTTGTTAAAATGCTAATGCCCAGGCCTCACCCACACCTTTCTGACAAATGTTTTCACTAGTTCCCAGATAACTGTGATGCACACCTAAATTTCAGAACTTCTTAAATTTGGCCAACTTTAAGATTCCACCAAAATCTCCAATACACTTTTTTTCTTTTTGAATGAACATTCCACATTAAACATGGCCAAAGAAACAAAAAACAACAACAAAAACTAACATAGTAACAATAATAATGCACACTAACTACACACCACTGTGATATGTGTTTCACATGTATTATCATCTAATTCCGTCCTCACAAAAACACCAGGTAGATAACATTATTGCCTCCATTTTATAGATGAGAAAACTGGAAGTCCAAAGAAACTAAGTAATCTGACTACAATAGTGACTGGTAAAACCAGGATCATCTCTGGTCTGCCAGTCCCTCTTACCTGTGAGCTGGGTAAGCAAGCACTTATATATAAATGCAACTCTGGAGCTTCAGGACTATCACAAAAAGGATTAAGCCTAAGGGCGAAGCAGTTGAAACAAGCAATAACCCTCCCTGTCCACTCCCTCCCCACAACAAGCTGTCTTGAGCTTGACCCACCCCACCACTCACCAAGGCCTTCCACCTACACAGTATGCCATCACATACTGGTAGAACATCACAAGTCTGTATGTATCAGTATTCTTTCTACTCTTACCTACTACATGGTAAGTACATCCAAATTCCATCTCCACCAAGTACTGGCTGTGAGCTTCAGCAGATTTAACATCTCTATGCCTCAGTTTCCCAATGTGTAAATTGTGGGTCATAATGTCAAATGCACTAAAGTAAGTCATGTAGTGATTAACTGAGATAATGTACATAAAGTACTTGCTTGACACACTAACACATGGTAAAAACTCAATAAACATTAGCTGCTAATCCAACATATCAATCCTAGGTCCCATTTATTTTCTCTTAGCCTTGTGTTCCCAAGACTGTGATAAAAAATGGAACATATTCTTACTTATTAGGAGCAAACTGGTAACAATGGACTGAAGGCCAGGAGTAGAATATTTTAGAGTAAATGAGTCTCTTAGTAACCCTCAAATTGCACAACTTTGACAACTATTTATTTCCCAACTTTAGGTCAGCCCTGTTGATTACATACTAGTATGAAGAGTCTATAATTAACTTAATTCAAAACAACAATAAAATGTCACTCAGCACAGGGACTTGGGTCTTAATTTATCACTGTATCATCAGCACTTAGAACAGTGCCTGGCTCATGGCAGACACTCAAATATTTGTCAAATGAATGAAGGCATAAAGGTACCAATGCAGACACACCTTAGCTCATTAGTGAATCTTTACAAAAACAAGCATCATTATCAGATCAATACCAATGTGCCAAGTAACAAAGTTATTTTCAAAATTCCCCCACAGTATTTTTCTCCTTTTTTTTTTAAGAGCAAAACATCTTATGTGTTTGTGTTACAAAAAAAATAAATCCAAGCAGGTAATGAAATAAACATATTTTTTTAAGTATCCCATTCTGGGTTCTCTGTCCTAGAATTTAGTAAACAGTTCAAGTTTAACTTGCTTCAACACTTCTTCTGGATGCTATGAGGTCTCCATCTTATACCCATGTTTCTGTAGTCCAGCTCCTAATTGACTGGAGAAGTCATCATCTACATTGTCATCATGCCAATCATCCTCCCAGACATGTGCATCTTCATCTTCATCTAAGCCAGCCCAGTCTTCCTCAGGGAACTCCCTGAACTGGTTGTCTTCCTCCAAGAGACTCAGGTCTACCGGCTGCTTTTTCTCTGACACGGTGACCCTCCCCACTGAAAACCTCTCAGGCTGAGAGGAAAGTTGGAACTCTCACTTTTTCTCACAGAAGAGACACCAACACTGCTGCCACCTCTGAAGCCAGCTCTACCACACAGCTCGCCTTTCTTTTTTAAAAAAAATCGTGGGCTTTTCTTTAAAAACTCTCCAACCCGGGGCTCCTGGGTGGCACAGTCAGTTAAGCGACGACTTTTGGTTTCAGCTCAGGTCCGGATCTCAGGGTCATGAGATCAGGCCCTGCATGTGGCTCTGTGCTCAGTGCAGAGTCAGCTTGAGACTCTCTCTCTCTCCCTCTCCCTTTGTTCCTCTTCCCCCCATGCTCACCCACTTGCATGTGCGCATGCTCTCTCTATATATAAAATAAAAAAATCTTTAAAAACTCTCCAATGAGAAAAGTTAATTACCAACCTCAGCTCCACTAATCTACTAAAAATGTTAAAGGAGTCCCATAATAATGCATCATGCTCACCTCCTACCTTACATTCAAACAAAAACAAAACAAACCTAGTAACTATTTAACAATTATCACTTCAGTGATGCTGACTTCGCAGAATTTCTTGAACCATCCGAACAGAAGCCACAAAATGAAGTAAGTGCCCGTTAAGAGATTAACCCTAACACCTAGAAGATAACTGTGATCTACTATGGGAATACACATAAGTTCCATTCTCAGCTATGCTTCTAAGCAGCCACATATGTAACTTTGAACAAGGTGCTTAATTTTTTGTCCCCATTTTCTCATCTGCAGAATAAGAGTAAGTTTCCCACATCTACTTCAACAAGTTGTTTTAAAGACCAAATGTACATAAAATGATTTCCAGGACAATAAAGTGCCATACAAATGTAAATTGTTAAATTTGATATAAACATCATCAGATTTTAAATGGGTATTCCTATTCATCTTTCTTTTTATGTCGCTGCCACTCTTTATATTTCCTAGATCCAAAGATCTGCCAGTACAAAGAAGAACCAGTTCCTACCGACAGTCATATTTCAAACATAGTAGGCCCTCAGCAGATATTTGTTGAAAAAGACATCCATCCCCATGCAACAGAAATTTTAAAATTCTGCTATATTCAATACCTTACCTTGTAAAGGTTAAGCAGCAGGTTACTTTCAAATAAAATAACAAGTGATGTAACTTACATGAGAGGTGCCTACGGTTTTGTCAAGAGGAATGCCTTCCTTGTGCACATTACTCAGCCTGGATATAAATAGTCACCTATGTGACTATCACCCAGGGAATGTTCTTCAATATTCTGGTTTCACTGGAGGCATGCTTTCCACATAGAAAAGGACTTCCCTTCTCTTTAACACTAGCAAGATTTCTAAAGATGCCAGATTCATTCTTCTAGTTTTACAGTCTATGCTTCAGCACTTACAGGGACAACTTTTTGTGGACTTGTGGTCATTTCTCAAATTACCATGTCATTCTTCTACTAAATATGAAAAGTTTATTTTTCAAGACCATAAACAAAAATATTCTAATACTTATATTTTAAGATTAATAATAGTCCGGGGCGCCTGGGTGGCTCAGTCATTGGGCGTCTGCCTTCGGCTCGGGTCATGATCCCGGGGTCCTGGGATTGAGCCCCACATCAGGCTCCCTGCTCGGCGGGAAGCCTGCTTCTCCCGCTCCCACTCCCCCTGCTTGTGTTCCCTCTCTCGCTGTGTCTCTGTCAAATAAATAAATAAAATCTCTTAAAAAAAAAAAGATTACTAATAGTCCATTAAATTTGTCAAATAAGGGGTGCCTGGGTGGCTCAATTGTTAGGCGTCTGTCTTTGGCTCGGGTCATGATCCCAGGGTCCTGGGATCAAGCCTCGCATCGGGCTCCCTGCTCTGCGGGAAGCCTGCTTCTCCCTCTCCCACTCCCCCTTCTTGTGTACCTCTCTCGCTGTGTCTCTGTCAAATAAATAAATAAAATCTTAAAAAAAAAAATTGTCAAATAGAAGTATAGCTGTTTTAAATGTTAAAGTTCCTGGTTCCTTTGAATATTATATAATGCCTCAAAAATAGGATTTAAGCTTTTTTGACCTTAGTTAGTTCTTAATTATCTACACATACATATACACACACACGCGGATGTGTTACAGATCCATTAATAATTTATATTAAGCTCTTGGATGATGGTCTTGTATTTACAGTTTAATAAGAGTATCCTCAAGAGGAAAAGTTCCTAATAGTTCAAACCAAATAATGAAACACCTGTAGGGGCGCCTGAATGGCTCAAGTCGTTAAGCGTCTGCCTTCGGCTCAGGTCATGATCCCAGGGTCCTGGGATTGAGCCCCACAGCGGGCTCCCTGCTCGGCAGGGAGTCTGCTTCTCCCTCACCCACTTCCCCTGCTTGTGTTCCCTTCTCGCTGTGTCTCTCTCTGTCAAATAAATAAATAAATAAAATCTTTAAAAAAAAAAAAAAACCTGTATACATAGTCACCCAACCCAGCCTTCTTACCATTTTTCTTCTCATTTACCCAACTACATTCTACTGCTGAAATGATTCTACTTTGTTACAAAAGATGGGCTTTGTGTGCTCATTTTTGTTCTTTATGTCTATTATAGCTCAAGGGACATTCCTGAAATAAACACAGGCCATAAAAAAAAAATTGTTCTAATAGTACAGGTGAGAATTTAATCATCCTTTGAAAACAAGCCCCCTCACAAAGATTACGAAGTTAATTATGTAATCTTTAAAAGACAGCTACTGCATTTATGGGCAATGATCTAACTCATTTGAGGAAAATATAAGTTCTATCTGAAACAGGAACACTGTACTATTCATTTTATCTACAATGAAAACCAGTGTTATATTACAGCCTAATTCTAATTCCTATAAACCCGTCAAAATAAAAAGTGCACAATTTGTATAATTTTCTGGAATTTACATCAGAGTGCTCGCTTCAGCAGCACATATACTAAAATTGGAATTTACATCAGAAATGATAAAGCAACACCATATCAATGTTCAAAGCTGTCTCAACTTAAGAATGAAAAAAACAGAAAATTCAACATTAGTTTCAGAACCTCATTCATGACCTATATCATCCTCAGTCCTGTGTGCCTTCTTCAAGTTACATTCTTTAACACAGTACCAGTTCTGCAGGTTTATTTGAACAGTCTACCAAATGAACTGAGATCAAGGCAACCTGGTCTGATGGAAAAGTCAGGGGTTTCATGGTCAGAAGACCTAGGTGTGAATCCAGACTTTGTTCCTCTGGAGCTTTAAGACCTTGAGCAAGTATTGAATTCTCTAAGCTTAAATTTCTTCATGTGTAAAAGGACAAGACCACCAACCCTGAAAATTACTTGGTAGATCAACTCCCTCAGTTAACGTTCTGATTGTGGCAGATGCCTAATAAAGGGGTGATGATCTTATACCACTAAAATTCAGAAATTATGATGAAGTACCTCATTAAGGGGGTCACAAACTGTATGAAAATTATTAAAGCTGTAATACCTTTTTCAGTCTTTTAGTGAAAATATTTTAATATACAAAAATGAAAAATTCAAAGGTTAGAAATCTTTTTAAAATTGACATTTCTAAATATCAAAATGAAGCTTCAATTATCAATAGTGAAAACGGGTTAATTTTCCAAAAAAATGTTTTGGATGCTTATATTTATTCAAACCTCACATGGTCAAAAATTTTAAAACTTTCTAAAAAGAACTGTACTTTAGAACCCAGAGACAGCCCAGTTATCTAAACAATGGGCTACATGATACTCCACATTCTCCAGGCAAAGTCACAACAGGATGAGAAAAGAGCCTTCAGCCTCTCTCAGATTTCCTGGCCACTGTTATTTTAAAACTTGATCACATAAACATAAACAGAGGGGAAAAAATCCACTTCAGATAAGCGTCATGGGTTATGATTTATGATCTGTTTTTAATACCTTGCATTAATTTACATTAAATATTGCAATAGCTTATTACATTTTTCTTGCTCATGTTTCTAGACACTAATGAAGAATATATGTATGTTATGGTTTTATATAATATATATTTAGAGTTTTTAATCATGATAATCTTTTCTTAAGGTCATTCATCACTTCTGTTACTCCCTTTGAAAATTAGTTTTTGAAAACGAAAATGTAACTCAAACTGGGAAAACAATATGTCACACAGAACATACAAACTCAACAGGCAAATCTGCGTAAGACTAAAATGACTTCTGCTTACCACTGTGCATATAATTCCTGTGCAACTTGAAACACTCAAAATGAGCTGGATATTTAAAAGTCAATGAGTTATTTTGAATGGCTGCATTGTTTCAAGCTCTGGCTATAGCCCAATTTGTAATGTTTCTAAAATTAATGATAAAAAAAAAACCATGGTAATTTTTTCACTAAACAATTTCCAATTGTAAAACCACAACCCATGATATCTATGAAGTTTAGTTAATTTGTACAGATATGCCGTTTCGCTGCCAACCTTTGTACCGTGACCATTCTAACCCAAGTTCAAGATTCACATTTTATGGTGTGAATAGTTTCAACTAAATCTTAATTTCTAAAATTCTCAAACCCTGACTATATTTAGATACACTGCATCTACACCACCAGAGCATAACAGCAAATGAAATTTTTACTTAGCATGTACAGCAATCTGTGAAGTTGGGACAGTGTTCTCGTTGCTCATTAACATCTGTAAATTAGGATGTAAGCATTCCTCTACCACAAGTTTATGCCAGATAAAATATAACCTGTTTTCTTAAACTCTAATAGAAATAGTATTTCCGACACCAATGTTCTAGTAATAACTCTACCAAATTATTTTCTACTTAAAATCCCGGAGTTTGAGCATTTTAATGGTTTTAAGGAGTTTTTGGAAATTAACAAATATAAAAAGCTCTCGTTCAGTAGCACCTATATAAGTTAACATAGTCAAAGTACTGGACAACCTAAAGACTAAGATTATATTGTTAGACAGTCCCAACCTGGTCTCCTACATGATTAAACTATTAATTTAATAGTGGCTGGCATCTGATCCTCAGATCTCAGAACAAACGGCACTATTCCTACACTGCATTTTACGCTTGTTTACTTAAGAGAGAGCTACCACGGAGTGTCCAAGTCAGAGTGGGTCACCTGAGTCTCTGCTTCTACCTGGGAGCTCGAGTAGGCACACAAAGGTATCTTGGGGACGATAAACCCATGAAAGGAGACTCTCATTGTCTTGTGGAAATGAGAACCAGCCCTGGGACTACGGTGAGCCGCCGGCCGGGCCCACCCATCACCTGCTTCACCCACAGGCGTCCTCGGGAGGTGAAACCAGCCGTCGGCCCCCGGACAGCCCAGGAGGCCCCGAAGCAGGGCGGGCCGGGGCAGCGAGGCCCTGACGCTGACGCCCCGAAGCAGGGGCTCCGCGTCACTCACCGGTGCGGACGCGAGGGCAGGTGCGCGGCAGGGAGGCTACCTGTGGCCGGAGAGGTGGAGGGCGGGGCGAAAGGTGACGAAGTGGAGCGAAAAGGGCGACGACGTGGACAAGCTCTGAGACGGGGCGGCGGCGACCGGGATCCTGCTAGCTTCCTGCTCGGACCGATCCCGGGTCCGTCTCCGCCCGCCCGCCGGCGCCCAACCTAGTCCCCAGCCTCGGCGCGCGCACGTCACGGCTACGGAGCGCCCAAGGGGGCGGGGGCGCGGCGGGCCGGGGCGGGCCGACCGCGCGCGCGGGCGCACGGGCGCACGGGCGCGCGCTCCGGGAAGGGGCGCTCGGCTCGCGTGGCTGCCCCGCCCCTCCGCTCGCCCCCGGCCGGCGGCGCAGAGCCTCCGGGGCTGAGGTGGGCGCGCTGGAGCGCGAGAAGGGGCAGCCGCGGCGCCGCCGACGGTCCTTGTTCCTCCCCCTGCGAGACGGCCTTCTTCGGCACGGTTGTCTCCTGCCCCTGCGAAGCAAGTTCTCTCCGGTCTGGATGCGGTGACCGTGCAGTCCGGCAACAGCAAGAATCTGTTCACGGAGGGACACAGTTGTTCAGGCAGGGGGCGAGGACCCCGCGTTTTACTAGAGGACGGGCGGGAACGATGCAGCGTTGTTGCGGAGGGAGGAAGGCTGCAAACTGGGCTCCGGTCGGGTGGGCTGGGGCTGCGCTGCGCTGCGACGGGAGCGACCTTGCTATTCTGCTTTGGGTAGCGGAGGGTCTCTGGCCCCCGGACCGCATTTACTTACTAGAACCCGATCTTTTCTGTCGTCCAAATTTTACTGGTTTTATAAGTGACATACCTGTGAACCATTTGAAAATTAAATATGAAGTAGCTTTGCAAAACTGAATTAGATGATGAAAACACACGTCGCCTTTACAACGAAAAGAAGCTTAAGAAAAGGAAATGGTAATGATTGATTGTAACGCTAAATGTCTCCGGTGAAAAAAGTTAAGAGTACAGACACATGAGAATTACACTTTTTTCCTCAACATTT